GTTCGGCTGCGGGCGCCCCAGAACACCCCCCAACACCCCCCACCCAGGATCCCCGACCTGGGCAGGGTGGGGAAGCGGAGTAGAAACCCGTCCTCCATGGAAGGGACCGAGCCAGAAGGCCGAGGGCAGTGCCCGGTGACATCGGTAGGGTTGGCGTGCCTGGATCCCTGCTGCTCCCCCAATCCCAGGGACTTCCTCCCATCCCAGACCAAACCATGAGGCTACTGGGGTCCGTCTCCCAGGACTGCAACTCACTGTCACCCCCTCCTCGGCCCAGGGACCTCCTCCTCTTTCGCCACTCAGAATCTGCGTCAGCCTTCTTTCTCTTCAGTTTTAATCCTCCAATAACATGCCATCGTCCTAAGTTCCTTGCATGCAGCGTCTCCCGGACTGTCCACTACACTGCCACGTTAGTACTTACATCACTAGTAACCCAGCGAAAGGCCTTTGCTTTTTCTCTTTTACCCTTTCCTTCCTATTTCACTCACACACACAAAAAGTTGTTGATGCAGGCTCACGGATACTGATTGCCACCGTGCCAAGCCACGTGCCCTGCTATCGAGTTCATTCCCAGTCCTGGAGACCCCGCAGGACAGAGTACAGCTGACCCGGGGGTTTCCAAGACTGTGAATCTTTACAGGACGCGGCAGCCTTGGCTTTCTCCACGGAGTGCCTCATGGTTTTGAACTGCTGGCTTTTGGGTTATCTGTCCGACTCAAAACCACCACGCCACCAGGGCGCCACTAATTATCATAATATTGTACCTAACACGTCAGAAAATGTGGCAAAATCTGTGGCTGTAAGAATTAAAACAGGCACCAGACACGTGGCCTTCCATAAGGTTTCGGAGGCTTTGTACATTTTCTGCGCTAGAAGCATGTGGCCACCAAATGTGACTTGAAGCGTCATTGCCTCACTGCCAAAAAGCCGATTATGACTCATAGCGACCCTATAGAATAGAACTGCCTCTTTGGGTTTCGGAGACTTTTCATCTTTAAGAGAACAGGCAGCCTCATCTTTCTCCAGAGCAGCCACTGGTAGGTTTGAACCTCTGACCGTGCAGTCACAGTTCAATGCCTAGTCTACTCTCTGATTAATAACAGCGGTGGTCAGAGCAGGTCAGCACATTTGAAAAGCACCGAGTTTTAACCTTGTAAGCTCTGTTGACCCTGGAGTCCTAGTGGCATAGTGGCTACTCATTGGGCTACGAACCTCAAGGTCAGCAGTTCAAAACCACCAGCCACTCTGGACAAGAACGAGGGGGCTTTCCACTCCCGTAATGAAGTACAGTCTCGGAAACTCACAGGGGCAGTTCTGCCCTGTCCTGCAGGGTCACTAAGAGTCAGCTTGGACTCGAGGGCAGAGAATTTTGAGAAGCCTTTCTGAAGCCAAAACGCTGTCAGTTGAAGAAGCAATGACTGGTTGTACTTACTGGGGAAGTGCTGAGCCTTCTCAGACCCCAAACTAACCTCCTAAAGCATGCGGCCAGGGTTGTTCTTTAGCGGCAAGCTTAGCGAGACTTCACCTTACATATTGTGGACATGTTGTCTGGGGCGTCTAGTCCTTGGAGAAGGACATCATGCTTGGTCAAGTGGAAGAGTGACGGAAAGAGGAAGATCCCTCAGGAGGTGGACGGGCACAGTGGCTGCAGCAGTGGGCTCAGCCACCGGGACAGTTGTGAGGACAGCGCAGGACGGGGCAGTGCTTTGTCCTGTTGTGCATGGGGTCGCTGTGGGTCGGGACCAAGTGGATGATCCTTAGCAAGAACAGGCATACCAGGTAACACATCCGTGCTCATTGAACCCGACGCAGGCTGTCCAGAGACACAGTTGGGAGCCAGGGCCCCTGGGTGCTGGGCTGCTGCGTGTACGTCAGGGGCCGGAGGTGGGCGATGCCACTCTGCACTCCGACCAGACACAAGCTGGGACGCCGCTTGTCCTGCTGCTTCTCCTTTTTTCAGTGAGCAGAACCAGGTGCTCAGGTGGATCTTTGCGTGAGATCGCAGTGGCCTTAAAGGACCTTTCAAGAAGCAGGGAGTGCCTGTTGTTAGAACTGGCTACAGGGATGTTTTTTAAGAAAAATAGACGTTTTCTGCTGGAACTGCAAACACTATGTAGACGGGCATTTGGGGTCACCCTGTCTGGTGGTGTGATCCTTAGCTCCCCCCCGACCTCCTTCCCAGTTTGTAGCTGCTGCAGCCAGGCCTGAGGGTGAGGCATGTGTGGGGGCAGGACTCCCCCCCTCTGGGCCAGCCTCCCTCCTTCCAGGCCCTCTGGTGGGCACGGGGTTTGAGGGCTGCCTCAGTCCCTCATTTCAGGCTGGTTTTTGCTGCTTTCGAATGGGGACCCCCTGCTGCCCACCCTATGTTCTCACTGCAGGCCAAGGAGCCTGCCTGATGGAGGGTCCCTGGAGAAAGGAAAGGGGTCTCAGGGCCCATCTGGGGCTCCCCGTCCTTCTGTGCCTTCCAGGACTGGCAGCCCCAGGGCTGTGTCCTCCTCATCTCTCTGCCCACTGCATACTGCCAGCCCTGCCACTTGGGATGTCAGAGTTCAGGGTCTCGCCCCTGTTCACACCCCCTGCTCTCTGCTAGGGCGTCTGTTTGAACTCTCAGAGGTCGGTCTGGCTGAGCCCGTAGGCCCTGAGGGGCAGGAATCAAAAAGACTCTGTGCTCCTCATGTACTCCTGGCTGGAGACAAAAACCAAAAATCCAAACCCGCTGCCATCGAGTGGATTGTGATTCAGTGACCGTGTAGGACAGAGTAGAGCTGCCTGTGGGTTTCTGTAAGTCTTTACTGAGACGGCTACATCTTTCTCCCATGGGGTGTCTGGTGGCCTCAAAGAGCCAACCTATCAGCATGAGCCAGGGCACGCTGCACGCCAAAGGGTTTTAACCAGGAGTCCTGTGAGATGGGGACCGAAGCCCCCACCTTTCACCTCCCTTAAGCCCAGCTCTGTGCCACTTGGGCAGGAAGATGGCGTGTCCCCGTGGCTGAGGGGCCTCCCCGCGGGCTGAGGTGAGCAGCTTCAGGACCACATCTCCCTCCTAGCCCCATAAGCCCCCCCAGGCGGGTCCATGTGTGACTCAGGGTTCCCGTGCCAGGGAAGACCACTTCCCTTTCCCTGTCAGAGCACAGACCAAGCCAGAGCTCCATCTCCACCTCTTCTCTGCCCTGTCGGACTCTTCTGGAATGGACCTGCCTGCCAGAGAGCCGGGTCACACGCAGTCTTGGGCTTGCCAGTCCTCCGGGAGCACAGGTGGGTCACTGCTGGGCCAGGGTCTGGGTTACAGGGACTGGCCCCTGCTCACAGCAATGGAGGGGTGGGAGGGGCCACAAGAGCAGTGCAGTGTGACAACAGGGAGGGGTGGGGAGGGGGCCTCATCCAGGCTGGGTGGGCGTCAGCATGACTTCCCAAGGGCACTGCAGGACCCTTTAGATTTCTCCACGGCTGAGGGCCACAGAGCCCAAGGACGGGAGGAGACAGCCACCTCATAGAAGTGGGTGCTGAGGGGCACCCACAGGGAAGCTGGGGTCCAGCAGGCATAAACGGAGTCAAGGGGCTAAGAGTTTCCTGGGCTTTGATTGTCCCGGAGTTTGAGGTGCTGTAGCTGACTAGGAGCCATTGACCAGCAGCCTCCTGAGATCTGGGGGGAGGCGACCTGTGAAGAGCCAGGCCCTGAAAAGTTGCAGAGAAGAAGTGGGGTACAGGAGAAGAGACAAGACCCTCAAAAAACCAAACACACTGCCCCCGAGCCCATGCCAATTCCTAGTGACCCTGCAGGACAGGGTAGAACTGCCCCCATGTGAGTTTCCATGACTGTAACTTTGCGGGAGTAGAAAGGCCCATCTTTCTCCCAGGAGAAGAGGTGAGCCCCCCTCAAAGGGAGGCTCCTGAGGAAACGTGCTAAGGCAGGCCTCTCCAAGGAAGGGGCAGGATGGATTATGGGAGAGTCTCCAGAACTCCTGGTGTGGTCCCCTCTCCACATCTACGCCCCTTCTGCCCGGCCTGGGTCAATGACAGCAAGCTGGCAGCTGCAAAGGGAAACTACCCACCCTCGGGTAGGGCGGGTCCTGGGAATGTCGGGCAGTGGCTGAGGAAGTGCGGGAGCCAGAGGAAGGCTGGGTGGGTCCTTCTGGGAAGAAGAGGACAAAGTGGCAGCCCCTGACCCCACCCAGGACTGAGGGGACTTGACCCACAGGTCCGCCAGGAACGCCTTTTCCTTCCCTGAGGGCACAGACATGCTGGAAGAGGCCAGACTCCGTTTGCCAGAGGGCATCTGCAGTGTCTGCCCTGGGCCTGGATCTGGGCAGGGGTCGGGTCTGGGGCCTCTGTCAGACCCCAAATCCCATGCAGGTAGCAGAGGACACACACATAATCCCCCACACACTTCCATGCACAGCCTGGGGCTCTGATGAATGGCGTGGCTCCCGGGGATCTCTCTGGGGAGGGAGGAGGCCTGGAGAAGGGACTGGAGGCAGTTGAGGGCGGTCTGACTGAGGTGCTGGTTTCAGGCTCCTGAGCCTATGGGGAAGGTGTGGGACGCTGGGCTTTGACAGGAAGTGAGAGTTTCATATTTCTGGCTGCTTCCTGAGCTGCCCTGATCTTCCAGAACCTGAGGGCGGCGGCCATGGAAACAGCAGCCTGTGGAGTCAGTGGGATTAATTGAGACCAGGTTTCCCTGCGGCTTCAGCCGGGAGCCCTGAGTGTTAGTGAGGTGAGGGTTCCGGGAGGCGGAGGGAGGAGGGCTTGCACTGGGGATGGAGTCCGGGACTTGGATGGCTGGTCCAAGCCGGCTATTGGATGAGGGGGGAGTGGCCCAGGTGGTGGCTGTAGACACTGGGAGGTCTGTGTCCTGTACATCTAGTTATGGATGTGCCTGTTTCTGTGTAGCCCATGTCTGCGCCTGTCTGTCTGTCTTTCCGTCTCCAGACCTGTCTGCATGTTAAGTATGCATCTGGGTAAATATTGTTTTAGGGTATGAAAGAGACCCCACCCCCATCTCAAGTGTAATTTAGGCAGAACATTTATTAAGTCTTAAACGGGACAAAGGCAGAGACATGTCATCCAGATGGGGGGCCACTAGCAGGAGGTCATCATGGGGTCCGAAGGTTTGCTGAGTTTTAAAAAGGACGCGGGAGGACAAAGGAAACTGTCACAAGAGCAAGGTTGGCAGCAGACGGATACGTCACAGGGACAGGTGTCAGCTCAGTGGCAGGAGCTGGGCCACGATTGCAGCATGGGCGTTATGTTAGCTACAAGCGTTTACAAGATCGGCCCAGGGCCCCTGACCACTGCAGTCAGGGACTGAGACTTTGGGACCCCCAGTAAGGTGTTCTCCGTCAAAGACACCGCAGGCTAGCCCCTGGGCTGGCTGGAGCCTGCCTCCATGGGATAGTTGTTGAAAAAACAACTCACTGCCCTTGAGTCAACTCTGACCCATGGTGACCCTCTAGGGCAGAGAACTGCCCCTGTGGGTTTCTGAGACTGGACATCTTTACGGGAGGAGAGAGCCTCACCTGTCTCCTGCAGCGCCGCTGGTGGTTCCAAATTGCACACCTTGTGGTCAGTACCCCTGTGGGCAGCCACTATGCACCAGGGCTCTTTTCCCTGGGTAAGGGTCGCAAGGAATTCACTGGAGCCTTAATCCCATGGGGACTCTGCAGATAGATTTTGGGCTTTCGTTGTCATCTATAGCCTCTGCAAACTGGGTGCTCAGAACATACGCTCTGACGCAGTAGGCATCTGTATGTGAGTGTGCGCCTGTAGGCATGTGTAGTGTGTGCAGGTCATGTACATGTGTGTTTGTGGCTGAGTGGCTCCTGTGTCCGTGCTTGTGGCTGCATGTGTGTGCTTCTCTGCA